ACCCACCCTTCAGATATTTATAAGCATTTATTAGGTCCCTTCTCAGCCTTCTCTTCTCCAGGCTGAACAAGCCCAGCTCCCTCAGCCTCTCCTCGTAGGAGAGATGCTCCAGTCCCCTCATCATCCTTGTAGCCCTTCGCTGGACTCTCTCCAGTAGCTCTTCATCTTTCTTGGACTGGGGAGCCCAGAACTGGACACAGTACTGCAGATGGGGCCTCACCAGGGCAGTGTAGAGGGGAAGGAGAACCTCCCTCGTCCTGCTGGCCACACTCTTCTTGATGCACCCCAGGATTCCAATGTTGAATGTCCAACATCCAATAATGATGTTTTTCAGTTGACAACTTGGATATTGTAGCTCGCATACTTTCAGCTGCAATTCGCTGTCTTCCTTTGGATTGCTAAGGTCATGCGTGTCTCTGTAGTTAGACTGATTTGCTGATTGGGATTGTTCGTGATAATATCTTGGGAGTAGTTTGAAGTGATCGACTAAACTAACATTGGCTTAGTAGCAATTGTTGTCATTAAAAACTAGTAAAAGCAATTAGTGCGTGTAATTATGGCATTTGGGGCAGGGAAGAGGGGGTGCTGTGGTAAATGAGTAGTGATAAATGAGTATGAAGCATTTTCTATGGGAGCAGAGAGTTGAAAGAAGCAAATAATCCCTTCCCACTCCCTGAAAGACTTTTCATATGCTTTATATTTCTCTCTCTCTCTCTCTCAAATACCAAATGACAACCAGTTTTGAAAAAGCTCCTCCCCCAACCAGAGGGAAGAGGTAAATAGAAAATATTTGACTTGTCTTTTGAGTTTGCCTTTTTGTTTTGTTTTGGTTTTTTTTTTTTACTTTTCAGCGATAATTTTCAGGATTATTACTTGGCATAGTGAGTAAGAGATACTGTTGTTAGAACAAACACTTCCCTTGTGCTGAAAATGCAAGTCTCCTTTTTGAAAGGAACCATGGGTTTGCATGGAACCCACCGGAGGATCCTGGTACGAGCCTGGGCTTTAAGGTGTTCTGAAAATAAAATCAGAGATGCTAAAATCAAAATGAAATGTGTTGCCAAGGAGCAGAAACTCATTTTGATAGAGAAGGTGACTGTTCCTGTTGCTTTTGCCCTCTGACTGCTTTATCTCAGGTTTATTCTAAGCATCCCGGTAGCTAGCTAAGATGATTCTAGAGGGAGAACGAATCTACCATGAAAGAACTCTGTCTTGAGATGATGACTGTGGGATATGTGTGACTGGGATGCTATACTGCCGTTTGTATGTGCAGCATTCAGTTAGTCAAGACGCTGGATTTTTTGGTTTCGGTTTGGTATTTTTACTAAAGAAAACTGGTAAGCGTCAAATATTACAGTTGATCAAAACAATATTTATTTTAGTTTGACTGAATTCAGTGTATTGGCAAATCCACTTGGTTCTTGTTCAGTTTTCCATTTTAAGACATTTCACTTATTTTAACAGCTACTGAATCCCTGTTATGTCCCAGCTCTATAGTCTGTGGAAAGAAGAGAACATGAGCGCATGTTAGAAATTGCTTAAAATGACAAGGGAAGGACTTTCAGCAAGTCTTTACAAAGCAGGAACTGAAGTTGTCTTTCTCAACAGAACCTTGCTGCTTGTTTCCTAGCAAAGTGGGTTTGCTTGCTTAACAGTGTTTGATGATTAGAAAAGAAACAACTTCGGAAACAAAAGGATCTTTTTAATTCAAGCCAAATAGGGTAGGGATGAGTGAATCCAAATTCCTGCATCTCAAGAGTGTTGCTTTACAAATTTTCTAGCCTTTTGTAACTTCAATAATTAGTCAAAAATTGCCAAATGTTTAAAAACTAGTTTGCCTCTGCTCTTTTCATAAAGGAAAATATCTGAGAAGTGTCTCCAGGTAGGCAATAACCAACATTCTGGTATGCACCCATGTCATGTGGTTAGATGGGATGTTTGTCTTCTACTGAAATTTTTTCTCCTCTTCAGCCCAAAGTAAACAGCTATTCAGCTGGGAGGTGCCCGCTTATGTAGTTAAACACTTGTTTTCCCAGAGGGCCCCTTCAGTATTGCAAAACTCAAGGGCTGAGGCAAAACTACTTGGCTTTGGTACCTTAACAGGAATGCAGATGCCTACCAAAGAAAACAGCAGGTTTGACGCCTTTTCTGGTGAGTGAAGCTGAA